CTCTGTGAATACCAACATACAGCTAAAGGGCCTGTGTCACACCAACACATAGCTGGAGGGCCTCTGTGACACCAACACACAGCTGAACGGCCTATGAGAATACCAACGCACAGCCGAAGGGCCTCTGTGACACAACACAGCTGAAGGGCCTCTGTGACACCAACACACAGCTGAAGGGCCTCTGTGAATACCCATCACACAGCTGAAGGGCCTCTGTGAATACCAACACACAGCTGAATGGCCTCTGTGATACCCATCACACAGCTGAAGGGCCTCTGTGAATACCAACACACAGCTGAAGGACCTCTGTGAATACCAACACCCAGCTGAAGGGCCTCTGTGAATACCAACACCCAGCTGAAGGGCCTCTGTGATACCCATCACACAGCTGAAGGGCCTCTGTGAATACCAACACTAAGCTGAAGGACCTCTGTGAATACCAACATACAGCTAAAGGGCCTGTGTCACACCAACACATAGCTGGAGGGCCTCTGTGACACCAACACACAGCTAAAGGGCCTATGAGAATACCAATGCACAGCCGAAGGGCCTCTGTGACACAACACAGCTGAAGGGCCTCTGTGACACCAAACACAGCTGAAGGGCCTCTGTGATACCCATCACACAGCTGAAGGGCCTCTGTGACACCAACACACAGCTGAACGGCCTCTGTGATACCAACACACATCTGAAGGGGGGCTATACATGGCCGATGTTTCAATGTGACTTAGTTTTGATGCTTATGAGTACTTACAAGACTGTTTAATGAAATGCTACCCACTGTCTCTGATTAGTTCCTACATCTATCACCTGGCTCCATGGCAGTCTGGTAAACACTACACATCCTATCCCATCCACCTTCAACCCCCTCAGCTCTGTTTATAAATATTTGTATTGTTCATCAATTGTACATGTTTACAAATAAGGTCCTGTGATTAACAAGATTTTGATGCAGACAAGTTATGAGGATTAGAGTATTGGTACATAAGAACATTGAAAATGACCCCTGCACCAAGAGGATGGTGTTGAACATCAATGTGAGATCTTCACAACAACTTTATACAACCCTATCTGTACAGAACATTAGAATGGATTATGAACCAGCACATTAAGCACTTAACACTTAACACTTCATCATCTACTCTCAACCACCGAGAAACAACCACCAAGAATACGGGAAGCACCATCTAAGTTGCTACAAGAGAGATGGAAAATCTATTCCATCAGAGACACTGAAACACTCTCACTGTACCAGAGGCCATGGGTGGGAAGGGTTACTTTCAGCAATAAACATATCCCCTAAGTGCTCCGTTACAGCCCCGTTACAGGCCTGTTACAGCCCAATTACAGCCCTGTTACAGCTCCATTACAGCTTCATACAGAGCCACTACAGCACCACTACTGAAACCACTGACAAAGGAAACTGAGCTTAACCACTGAAGCTCCACACCATTAGAGGTCAGGAGCAGTTCCACACAATATCCTAGGCCTGTGAAATGCAGAACCTAACTAAATAACCACAAGATGTGAGGAGTTTGCCAAATAGAGTTTGATGATGTGTTGAACTGGTTAGAAGGGGTGAACCTGGTTAGATCGGTGCAGCTGGTTAGATTGGTGGAGATGGTTAGTGGGGTGGTGCTGGTTAGAGGGGTGGAACAGCTTAGATGGTCAGAGCTGGTTCGATGTGTGGAGCGGGTTAGATGGGTGGAGCTGGTTAAAGGGGTGGAGCTGGTTAGTGGGGTTGAGCTGGTTAGACGGGTAGACCTGGATAGAGGGGTGAGCTAGTTAGAGGGGTGGATCTAGTTAGACGGCCGAAGCTGATTAGTGGGGTGGAGCTGGTTAGACGGGTAGACCTGGATAGAGGGGTGAGCTAGTTAGAGGTGTGGAGCTGGTTTGATGGGTGGAGCTAGTTAGATGTGTGGAGCTGGTTATAGGGGTGGAGCTGGTTAGAGGGATAGAGCTGGTTAGAGGGGTGAACTAGTTAGAAGGGTGGAGCTTGATAGATGGGTAGAGCTCGTCAGAGAGGTGGTGCTAGTTTCAGGGGTGGAGCTAGTTAGACGGCCGAAGCTGATTAGTGGGGTGGAGCTGGTTAGACGGGTAGACCTGGATAGAGGGGTGAGCTAGTTAGAGGGGTGGAGCTTGATAGATGGGTAGAGTTTGTCAGAGAGGTGGTGCTAGTTTAAGGGGTGGAGCTAGTTAGAGGGGTGGAGCTGGTTAAAGGGGTTGACATAGATAAAGGGATGGAGCTGGTTAGATCGGTGCAGCTGGTTAGATTGGTGGAGATGGTTAGTGGGGTGGTGCTGGTTAGAGGGGTGGAACAGCTTAGATGGTCAGAGCTGGTTCGATGTGTGGAGCGGGTTAGATGGGTGGAACTTGTTAAAGGGGTTGAGTTAATTAGATATGTGGAGCGGGTTAGATGTGTGGAACTAGTTAGAGGTGTTGAGCTGGTTAGATAGGTGCAGCTGATGTTAGATAGTCGGAGCTGGTTAGATAGGTGGGGTGGGTTAGATAGTGGAACTAGTTAGAGGGGTGGTGCTGGTTAGAGAAGTGCATTTGGTTAGTGGGGTGGAACTAGTTAGAGGGGTGGAGCTAGTTAGAGGGATGGGACTGGTAAGAGGGGTGGAGCTAGTTAGAGGGGTGGAGCTGGTTAGAGGGGTGGAGCTAGTTAGAGGGATGGGACTGGTAAGAGGGGTGGAGCTAGTTAGAGGGGTGGAGCTGGTTAGAGGGATGGATCTGGTTAGATGGATGGGACTGGTAAGAGGGGTGGGGCTAGTTAGAGGGGTGGAGGTGGTTAGATGGGTGGAGCTGGTTAGAGGGATGGGATTGGTAAGAGGGGTGGAGCTAGTTCGACGGGTGGAGCTAGTTAGAGGGGTGGAGCTGGTAAGAGGGGTGGATCTAGTTAGAGGGGTTGAGTTAGTTAGACGGGTGGATCTAGTTAGAGGGTTGCAGCTCGATAGATGGGTTGAGCTCATTAGAGAGGTGGAGCTGATTAGAGGGGTGGAGCTAGTTAGTGGGGTGGAGCTGGTCAGAGGGGTGGAGCTAGTTAGAGGGGTGGAGCTTGTGAGAGGGATGATCTAGTTAGAGGGATGGAGCTGGTTAGAAGGATGACCTAATTAGACATGCGGAGCCCAATAGATCGGGGTGAACATAGATAGAGGGATGGAGCTGGTTAGATGGGTAGAGCTAGTTAGATGGGTGGAGCTTGTTTGATGGGTGGAGCTAGTTAGATGGGTGGTACTAGTTAGAGAGGTTGAGCTAGTTAGAGGGGTTGAGCTAGTTAGATGGGTGGAGCTGGTTAGTGGGGTGGAGCTGGTTAGAGGGGTGGTGCTAGTTAGAGGGGTGGAGCTGATTTGATGGGTGGAGCTAGTTAGAGGGGTGGAGCTTGTGAGAGGGATGATCTAGTTAGAGGGATGGAGCTGGTTAGAGGAGCTGAGCTAGTTAGAAGGATGACCTAATTAGACATGCGGAGCTCGATAGATGGGGGAGAACATAGATAGAGGGATGGAGCTGGTTAGATGGGTAGAGCTAGTTAGATGGGTGGAGCTGGTTAGTGGGGTGGAGCTGGTTAGTGGGTTGGAGCTTGATAGATGGTGGAGCTCATTAGTAGAAAGGTGAAGCTGGTTAGGGGGGTGGAACCTGTTAGTGTGGTGGAGCTGGTTAGAGGGGTGGAGCTAGTTACAGGGGTGGAGCTAGTAAGAGGGGTGGATCTAGTTAGACGGGTGGAGCTTGTTAGATGGGGTGAACATATAGGGATGGAGCTGGTTAGATGGGTAGAGCTAGTTAGATGGGTGGAGCTGATTTGATGGGTGGAGCTAGTTAGAGGGTTTGAGCTAGTTAGATGGGTGGAGCTAGTTAGACAGGTGGAGCTGGTTAGTGGGGTGGAGACTGGTTAGAGGGTCGAGCTAGTTAGAGGGGTGAAGCTGGTTAGATGGGCAGAGCTAGTTAGATAGTTGGATTGGTTTGATGGGTGGAGCTAGTTAGATATGTGGAGCTGGTTAGTGGGGTGGAGCTGGTTAGAGGGGTTGAGCTAGTTAGATGGGTGGATCTAGTTAGACGGCCAAAGCTGGTGAGAGGGGTGGAGCTGGTTAGAGGGGTAGAGCTGGTTAGAGGGGTGAGCTAGTTAGGGGGTTGGAGCTTGATAGATGGGTAGAGCTCGTCAGGGAGATGGTGCTAGTTTCAGGGGTGGAGCTAGTTAGAGAGGTGGAGCTGGTTAGAGGGGTTGAGCTAGTTAGATGGGTGGAGCTAGTTAGATGGGCAGAGCTAGTTAGAGGGATGGAGCTGATTAGTGGGGTAGAGCTGTTGAGAGGGGTGAACTAGTTAGAGGGATGGAGCTGGTTAGATGGGCAGACCTAGTTAGATAGGTGGAGCTGGTTTGATGGGTGGAGCTAGTTAGATGTGTGGAGCTGATTAGTGGGGTGGAGCTGGTTAGACGGTTAGAGCTGGTGAGAGGGGTGAGCTAGTTAGGGGGTGGAGCTTGATAGATGGGTAGAGCTCGTCAGAGAGGTGGTGCTAGTTTCAGGGGTGGAGCTAGTTAGATGGGTGGAGCTGGTTAGAGGGTTGAGTTGGTTAGAGCGTGGTGTGTGTACATTAGGATGTTATTGTAGGAATATCTGATGGTTCTTAATAGATTAAATAGTGAGGTGGAAGTACTGAGTAGAACGGTTAATTTGGGTGGCTGGTGCTATTCTTGTGTGCATTAAAGGACAGGACAGAGCGGTGTTCCAATGTGGCTGGGATAATGCCATGGTTGACACAAGCAGGTTAAACAAATGCATTTCACTTCTTGTGTGATTCTAAACCAACAATGGTGCTGATATTGTTAAACCACAGTCAATCCACAACAACTATATCTCTATATCTACTTGTCTAATGATAAAAACAACAGTAATAGTAATTTGTTTTAAAGCAGAACTAGTAGTGTTAGAAACAGGTGTGGGAACACAACTGGAACAGAAGATCGTCGTCACTCACACAGGACCACACCAAGAAAGCATACTCACCATCCAAAACAAGGTCTCATTTGCAAATGTTGAGTATTGGTCTATGGTAGATAAGACACTGAAGATGAGGCAGATGAGCACCATCATGAAGCTGCAACAGAAGACACAACATTTAGTACTGGGACTCACACGCTGGAGAGTTGGTTTACATATGCCTTACCTCACTGGTATAAGATCCAACATATAGGTCCACATAGGGCGATATTACACCAACATAGGGTCCAAATAGGCTGGTATTAGACCAACATATGGGTCCATATAGGTTGGTGTTAGACCAACATATAGGTCCACAGAGGGTGATATCACACCAACATGTGGGTCCAAATAGGCTGGTATTTGACCAACATGCAGGTCCATATAGGTTGGTGTTAGACCAACATATAGGTCCACATAGGGTGATATTACACAAACATAGGGTCCAATAGGCTGGTATTAGACCAATATACAGGTCCATATACGCTGGTATTAGATTTTGTTTTGTTTGTTGTTTAACGTCGCACTCAGCAATATTCCAGCTATATTAGATCAACTTACAGGTCCATATAGGCTGGTATTAGACCAACATATGGGTAAAAAAAGGCTGGTATTAGACCAACATATGGGTAAAAAAAGGTTGGCATTAGACCAACATATGGGTCCAAAAAGGCTCAGACGAGGTGTTAGACCCAACTTACACCACAACTACTGCAATAGAATTGTGATAGTTTTAAGTACTGCAATTATATCCCAACTGCAATGATAGACAGATGACAAAGCCTAACACATCACCAAAGTCCTATACTCTACATCTTGCTTTGTACATTGTTTGCCAGGCACCTCTACCTATTGTCTGATGTACATTCATGAACGTTTACCGAATCAATGACCATGTGTCACTTCAAGAAAGGTGTATTATGGAACAACGAAAGGAAGTGATTATCGCTATTTTTTTCACATTTTATTACATCTATCGATACTATTAATGTAAACTATATATCCACAAGTCATTGATGTGTAACAATTGGGACATGGATATTGCATTGATGGTCAGTTACTTGTTACACTTCTACCATAGTAATAGGCCTGAGCTATTGGTCCATGTACAAGTGTGCGGCAAACACAGGAGTTCATACAGGTTGTACTAAGCCTGGCATACAACTACACATCATAGTTAAGTATTTGGGCACATTGCTCAGATCAATATGACCAGATAACCTGACCAAAACACAAAATGCATGGATGATAAAGACGTGGGGAACACCAATGGTCCTCCGTTTGTTGACCCCTGTTCAGACATATTGTTAGAGTGGTTCAAATACTGAGTCGACTGCCTCCGTGGTCTAGTGGTAGAGTGTTTGCCCAGAGAGCAACCGTGTCATACCAAAAGATGTAAAAAGATGGTACTTGTTGTTACCTTGTCTGGCGCTTGGCTTTAAGGGCATAAAACAAGGACTGGTCGACTCGGAGTCAGTATACTGTGTCTGAGTGGGGTATTCATGTTAAACTGCAGCATGGTATCTTAGTGGGCTAACACCATAAAATCAGCATTTGTCCGGACTAGTTGTTATGTAAGTGCACTAATCTTAAATGTGACATTAAACCCCATTTCACCTCACCTCAAATACAGACTAAAAATGAAGGGAATGTACTGCACAGCTATTCATGGACCAGCTGTGAATGTACTGCAGCATGAGATGCAATTTGATTCCCTGAACTCTGGTGTCACTTTACATTATCTCAAAGAACACAAGGGATCAGCTTGAGGCAGATATCTTGCGACAAATCTAACTGGTCCACCTTGGAGAAAATGAAATGAAGCTTTCAAGGTTTACTTGTGGACTACTTGGACGTCCTGACATTATCCAGACAAAAACATAGGAGCAGGACATCACAGTTCAAGGAGGATGCAGCTCAAATGTCAAGCTCTCTCGATGTCTCAGAATGTTACATTACAGTCCTTTAGGCATTGATTGTCAGGTTTCTGCCCTAACTACATACTGCCACGCATGTTTAAAAAATCTGTTCGTTTTTTTTGCAACAAAAGTTCTCAATCAGTGTTTGGAACTGCCCACCAGTTTGTTTTGGAAAAAAAAAGATTCAAATAAATGCATTCTTGACATCATTTCAGTCATAGAATGCAGTTGATCTGATATTGTTTGCTGACTGCAAAATTGTAGGACTCCAAAACGTTGCAATAGAAGCCATATTAAAGACAGCCATAACACTTGGCAGATAATCTGAACTCCTCCAAGCTGCTCAGTTTTATTCTCTAGAGAGATGATTATTCTCCTTGTAGTAATGATCATGTCCAAATGTTGGAATTGCTGTGTGTGGCCACTTCCAGAGTCTGTGTAGAATGGAGCTCTCCACTCCTTCAGTGTATGGTAGTGTGGAGCCTGATCATTAATGGAGCTCTCCAGTGTATAGTAGTGTGAATATTAATTAAAATATGGAAGATGGTAAGTACATAAGAAGCAAATACACAAATAAATATACATAATTTCTGTAAATATTTCCTTTGACCCTTAGCCTCAAATGTTGTACGAATGTACAAAGGTGTTCTCCATGTGTATGGATGTTCTTGCTGAACATAAGGAGTTCACTTGACATGCACGTATGACTGTAAAGTGATATGGCTTCCATTGTCTATTGCTAATCACCAATTAGCGCCAACTATCTGTTGGCTTCCCTTGTTAAGTTTCCACCTTTTGCTATCTTATTACTTTTGTTAATTGTTCTTATATGTACTCTGCCTCATATCGTTCATTTACCTGATGAAGGAGTAAGCATACACTCTGAAAGGTTGTGTTCCTCATAATAAAGAAGTTGACATCCATATATTCTCTTCCTTATGCACATACATGTTATTTAAATCTCAATGCTAGGTTACTTTTTCAATATTTAACAGAATCTCTGTAATGAATAAACAATAGCAATATGTGAGGCCAAGTTACAAGAAACTGGAAGATGAAAAAGCAAATCTTCCCTGAACTGACCATAAAAGTATCATAGTTTGTCCCTTAAACGTCAGTCATTAGGAATTTAACAGTTTTTTGTTTTTTTTATTGTACCGGGTAATTCTTTTATATTAATTGTAAAACCAATTCTCTGTGACTTAGAAATTTAATAGTTTGGTTTTCTTTCATTATAATTTTTTTATATTAATTGTAAAACAAATTCTCTGTGACTTAGGAATTTAATAGTTTTGTTTTCTTTTACTGTAATTCTTTTATATTAATTGTAAAACAAATTCTCTGTGACTTAGGAATTTAATAGTTTTTTTATTTTTTTATTGTGCCGGGTAATTCTTTTATATTAATTGTAAAACAAATTCTCTGTGACTTAGGAATTTAATAGTTTTGTTTTCTTTTATTGTAATTCTTTTATATTAATTGTAAAACAAATTCTCTGTGACTTAAATTTCTAACAGTGACGATGTCCTGTCACAAATGTTTGTTAAAAAACAACACAGTATGTGAATTACGGGTCCCACACTCACTATCTAGCCCCTTTATCATGATAAAACAAATGTGTATTTGATCTCTCAACCATTTTACTACACCATGGAGCGTGACAGTAATCTTGGTGATAAGCATAAACCATCCTCACACCTAAAGGAATGATGTTCTCAGAATGCTGACGAATCGGTAATCGAAATAGTTGAAAATGGCTGCCACTCGTGAACACTGACAGCAATAATGTGCTGGGGAGTCTCCTCTGGGGCCCATCACCTATAGCTTTGACATTTGCTGGTTTTATCTTTTAGAAACTGTACCATCAACTGGATGACATGCTGTTGGAGAATCAGTCGATGTCATGAGCACGGTCTGGTCCAGCTCAGATAATTACTGTGGATTCTAGCATGCTTTTATCCCAACGTCTCTGTCACTACCAAATAATTGCTGTAATTAACGCATTACCAACCACAGGTACTCTTGTTACCACACTGATCATAATGGCTGCAGAACGTTATAATTAAAGCCTTTAGGCTCTGTAGCTCACCGGAACATTTGTTCCAAGGTTAAAATTTATATGATGCAAATTTTTCACAAATCTTTCAAATTAAAAATCTGAAAAAAAATTGAACTACCTTATAAGGATTTATCTAAATAATGTCATATTGACTGTTGACATTATTGATATAGCTATTTAACTACAATATTAAATATGAATATCACCCCCGGTTTATTTGCTCATAATTAACTTTTTACATCAAAAAATCAAATCCAGTCTGATAATATTTTATTTGCATCCATCTTGGCACATTGTCCTAGAAAAACTGTATTAGAAGAGAATTGCTCTTGCTTCCTGACAAGTTCCAAAGATATAGATAATGGAATTGAATATGGTTACATTATCACTGTTGCAGCATACACCGCCTGTTTAAGAATATAAATCATCAACTCCAGAGAATAATCAGTCTCGATTATCTCCCGAAACAGATTCTTCCATTGGTGTAAAACGGGGTGAAAATTATATGATGTTTTTTTCGGATAACTGAATATCAGTGATGACACCAGGTGTTCACAAAAAGAATCATGTTGCACATTAAATCCCTACTCTGTGGAAGGAAAAGAATCCTATCTTTTTCAGTTAGCCCTAAACAAACATGATGATTGCTCTTGCTGTGATGCTGTCTCCTCTAACACTCCCTTTTGTGAAATCAGCAAAACTTACCATACCCTTACACCTGGTTCTGTGTGCACTCTAACTTCTAGTTGTGTAAGGGGCGGCCAGGTAGCCTCGTGGTTAAAGCGTTCGCTCGTCACGCCGGTTCGATTCCCGACATGGGTGCAATGTGTGAAACCCATTTCTGGTTTCCCCCGCCGTGATATTGCTGGAATATTGCTAAAAGCGGCATAAAACCATACTCACTCACTCACTCACTCTAGTTGTGTAACGATACAGTGATACAGTATTGTATCGTGATACGAGGCCCATGATACATTATCATTACAAGATATTTAGCTGTAAAAACAAATGTATAATACCAGGAGCTGCTCAACAACAAGCTTACACAGATTCTCTAGTATTTCCTGGTTAGCTATATGTAGTGTAACAGCATAACATTCACAGGACCCTCTAGCCTGTAGGTTTCCATCCTACAATATT